GACTGTTCTCATTCTTAGCTTCCTGTTTTATTCCCCAAACTTCTGTCTTTTAATCACTTAAATATATTTGTCCCTTCCTCTTCAACTCTAAACTTTAAATTTTTAAATTGCTTAACAAATTTGTCATCCTTCCACATTCTAACCAGAAAGCTAGAGGATGCTATGAGCAGAAAATGTATAGTCTCCTAAGCCTAGTTGTCTCCAAATAATACTGAGAAGAACTGATGTCCTCTATAGAAACATGAGGTGATTTTAGCTTTCATTTAATTAAAGCATCTTTTCTTTATCTCAAATTTAAAAAAAATGTAGAATGATTTCAATGGGAAAAACATTAAAAGCCTGATTTCTTAAAGATTAAGAAGAAAATAATGGTACTATATTAACAGACATTGAATAATTATTATTTTTTTTCCTCTGGATTAAACTCTAAAATGCTAACCTATTAAATGAAAGGCTTCTTAGATTCTAAAACAAAATACATTGCTTGATGAAGTGAAGGTTTTCTAGGGGAAAAGAAATCTAGCTAAATTATGCTACCTTTTGTAAATGATGTTGCCAGCTTATTTAGAGTTTTAACCTCTAGCAATAACAGATTATTTTGATAAATTATTCATATTTCTGCATTGTGTACCTTTTGTAATTTGCATATCTGGCAGCAAGTAGGCACTTCTTTCAGGCTTCAGTCCCCTTGGTTAGACAGGATGGCCGAAGGCTGCTTCATGATGAATTTCATCTCAATAGGGTAATTATCATACTGAAAAGAAGTAATACCCCTGAAATATGCTCTCCTGGAGCAATAAGTACAAGAGGCTTAACCTAAGAGCTTTTAAGCACATTGTACCTTTTAGGTTAAATGTTAACCTTTCTCTGTTTAGGAGTATCTATATCCAAAATAATACTGTTATTTATAAGAAGAGAGAACAGTACTTTAGAGCTTGATTTAGCAGCTCATTGGTTGGAAGATAATTTGTCACTAATTTCTAGTATGGTATTCAAAAATCAGAAGTATACCTTTTGAGGGATCAAAATGTTTTGCATTGCTGGTTCAAATTTTAGCTGTAAATCCAATAAATATAAATTTCTCTGTCGGTTTGTGTCAAAGTCTTCAACTTTTTTTTATGCTTAGTTTTATAGTCTAACAAAAATCTAAATGTCTTGCACATGGTGAAACTAACAAGATAAAACTTTCAAAAATGTTTCTTTTTTTAAAAAAAATTAAGAAAAGAAGTTTGGTTTTTAATTTAAGTCATAAAGAAATGCTTAATAAAAAGGCTATAGTGAAATGGTGTGATAGTGAAATTCTTCAAATTTCTCTACTAGAATCCTGGTCACAGAATACTGAAAATCAAGTTCTGAAATTTAAAATTAAAAGACTTTCTGCATAATACATAATCAGTGATCAAAGAACAAAAGAGTTTAATTAGTTTGTGTCATCTTAGAAATTTAACAGATTCCTAAATTTAATGTCTTATATCATTGTTTTTTCTTTAACTTTTACAGTTAGATTTTCTGAGCAATAATTGCTTACAAGTATTAAGAAGGAAATTCCGTCAGTTTGCTAGGTTGATTAAGTAACAACTAATGAATGCTCTTGGGGGAATTTTTAGGGTAGTAAGAAAGGATGATTGTCTAAGTTAATAATTATGTAATTACTTTGAGGTAGAAATTATACTGTCAAGCCCAAGTGGGCTGGATGTTGAGAAATGACCAGAATGAAGACTTACTTTCTGCTTCATCACCTGTGCTATTCATTCTCATGCTCCTATTTCTTCCTCTTTCTAATGAAATCTTTTTTATTTAGTTAGTTATTATTTGATGAATTGAATGAGTTTGCATTATAATTACTCTGGGATTATTCTTTGTTCACTTGAAATAGTAACCTATCACTCCCAACTTAATCTAAAAACAAAATATAATAAATATAGTGATTTTTTTTTCCTCTGGAAGTGAGTGAATGCTTAAAATACATTGAAGATGTGAGTATTGTTCTCTGCAATCCTATGGTTATTACCTGTCCCTTAGCCAAAGAACAACACTGGGACTTGTAATTTAGCAGTTCATTTGATGCGAAAACTACAATTGGACACTCAGTGGATTTACCCCTTACAATAATTGAAGCCAGAATATAAACAACTTTACATACACGAAAAGTTTATGATATGAAGCTAATCGTTAAAAGTATATGCAAAAATTGTTTCCTTAGTAAAACAGTTTATAGTCTCACAATATTTCTTTCAATTTTGTAGATTACACCCTTTTGCCTTTGGATTCAAAACAATTGAAGTATTTGGCTTATCTAACCATACCAACTTGTTTATATAAATAAAATATGCTCTGGAATCCTAGGAATACAAACTTATCTAATAGTTTTTTACTAAAACACTAATTATGCTGAAATTTTAATATAGGTTGATACTGACTAATGTTTTAGTCTGAAATATTACTTGTCTATATCAGTATTATTTTAATCTTCTGTTGAATACTTTTTTATGATTATCTACTTTTATTTAAAGTAATCATGTGCTTTATTTAAAATATAACTGTCTTAAATAAAAATTAATTCAAAATGACAATATCATTGAAATATTAGGATGTATGTAGTGGGGTAGTACAAAAAATAAAACTGGTTATCACTTGATATTTTAAACAGATGTTGCATACATGGGGTTCATTATGTTGTTTTTGTTATTTTTGTGAATGCTTTCCTTAGTTAAATGCTAGTTTATTTTGTAGTTAGCATATTTCAAAAGGAGGTAGGAGAAGTATTTATAATCAAAATTTGTCTGGATTTAAAGTGTTTCATTCATACCATTTTGGGGGTGGCTTTCTTATGTTGTGCATTTATGATCTCAGGGTTGAATCCCTTTTTAAGCTAGGCAGTTTTAAAAACTGAAATACTGTACCCAAGTGCGTGTCCAGTCTGCTCATCTCTGCATGTGTCCCTGGTAAGCTTTGAGGCTGATATTATTTTTGGGTGGATACAGCTGGCTGAGTTGTTGAAAAGATATTTGGTTTTAAACTGCTAGTTTCTACTGAGATGTAGTTTATGTAATAGTTTATAAATTAATGTAAATTGACTTAAAAGTTTCAGTCAGAGAGGGAATAGATGGAATTTTGAGGGATAAACAACATGGTACTTATATGGTCCTGAGATTTACCATCCTTTGAATCACTCCTTTACAGTTAAAAATACACTGAATGTCTCCTTAAAACATACCTTTACCTGAGTACAGTTAAAAATACACTGAATGTCCTCCTTAAGACATACCTTTACCTGAGTACAGTCGCTTCAATGCATCAGTATTCATTTGTAAACTGGCTTTTTTTTTTTTTCTGCAAAAGAGTAGAAGCAGGGAAAACTCAGGAGGGAATTGGGGCATAGCAGAAAGAAGTGTTCAAAAGAATTGAGCCCTAAAACTCACTCACTGCCTGTGCATACAACCAAATAGAAGACAGGTTAAGGTTCTTGTTGAGAGATGACCAGCCTGTCAGAGCACTCAAATGGGGAATGCTGAGCAGTCAGGGGAATTTTCTGTATTGGACCACTGAGAATACAGCCAACAGGAAAATACAGTGGTCAGTGGGAGAAGTAATAAGAAGACCCTTAGGAAAGCATTCTATGACTCATAATTGGGTGTAATGAGTGGTTCAATGAAATATTACATGTACTGGTGTTTTTTAAGATCAGTGATTTAAGAGATCATAAAGAAAAAGGAGAAGATAAAAGCTGCAATTTTTAAAAGTAATTTACTATTTAATATTTCAAAACTTTTTCTAAATTTAACCACAAACTACACTATTATACTTTGGTATATTCAGATATCCAAAGAGTAAAATATTTGAGCAGTTCAGTTGTCATTTGAACATAATGATTTCTTATTTTATCCATTTTTTTAGTCATCAGATATTTAATAAGTACCTATGAAATGCTAGTCATATAGTGTAGGTTAAGAGTGATACATAGAACTAAATTACCAATTCAATATCTAAAATGGAAATCCTGACTACTAACTGAGATCATGTCTTCTGGACACTAGCATGCTATTTGTCACAAAATTGTCCTCCAAAAAAAAATCATTCATAAACAGATTTTTAGGTAAACTGAATTTACTTTTGCCAAGATATATTTTGTCTGAAGCAATAAATATAAAAATAAAATCATATATAAATCAAATGTTATTTTTTATACAAAGACAAAATGAAGTATTAGAATTTTCATAATTATCATTATGATATAAATTAATTATTATCTCTCCAGCAAAGGGTAAATATGAATTAATAATTAAACTTCTTTTGTTCGGACAAAAAGCATGCAATTTTAACTTATAATTTTTTCTCCCAATTATTCTGATGCAATCTTGTTATTTTACAACTCTAACTAGTATTGCAAATTCAAATAAGCTGATATCAAGTGAAAGATTGAATGTACTTATGTGTTTATCAACTCCCATATTTACTGTCTAGCAAATGGCCAAATCTGCTTTCCCATATTATAGAATAATTCCGTTATTGAAAACTTAGTAAAGAGAATTATAAACCATACTAAGATGTGAAATGTCATTGCTTTTTGAAGTATTCATTTCTCTTTTTTATTCTATCTAAAAATATTTACGGTGAACATGAATTTTTCTTTCCTTGTTTCTTTTAAGACAAAAAATTCTGAACCAAAGGGGATAAAGAACATTAGCAACAAAACCTAAGACCAAAGAGGAAGAAAGATTAAAAATGAAGCTCCTTCATTCTCTTACTATATACATTGTTGCCCAGGGCCACGCTGATAGTGATGGACACCACAGCAATATGGGGAATGTCATCTCCAAGTTAAAGGCTTCAGCTTGAAGTTGGTTGTCTGGGCTTCATTCCTGTATGAGTCATCAGGGACTTTTAATGAGCCACTTTGTATCCAAGTGTTCCATTCATTTGAAAGAATTGATTAGTAAAGAAATAATTCATGAAGAATCCTGAGATTTTTAAATTCAGGTGCAAAAGTTTCTATGACCATGATGTTCTATGGTCAGTGAACAATGAGTAAAACATTTTGGGGCACCTTTGTTTTATGTTCTAATTTCTTTCAGTCACTTTTGTTTGTTTGTTTCAATAAGACCCATTCTCTGTAATTCCACTATCTTTACTTGTAAACAAAAATTATGAATGCCAAAACCAATCTTTTCTTATTTTGTAATTTCTCACCTTTATTGTTCTTTTTAATACACTTTTTGAAACAGCACTTCAGGGTAATTTATTTCTTTTTCTTTTTCTTTCTAAGAGCCAGAAAAAGCTTCTGAAACCAAACAAGGGACTGTAAAAGTTGCAGCACAAGGTAAGCAATTAAACACTTAAAAAAAAAATCTATTGCTTTTTCTTGTTATTTTCTTAAGTCCATAGCACTTTATTGACAAAAGCCAAGGCTGTTTATTGCAGAATAGCACCATCTGCTGGGTTATTATAGAAAGCATTATGTAGTTGCATGAAGATACATATAGCAAGTGTTTACTTAGTAACTAGAGCAAGCATTACTGGGAGTATAATGCCAAATATTCAGAGCAACTGCTAAAAGAACCAAGAATTAGTATCTTGGCTCCAAGTTTCAGTCATTGTTCCTTACATACAATATTTTTCCATGAGTAAGCCATAGTTAGAATAAAAAGATATAGATTTATATATAAAATGATGTACATTTTCCCAAGTGTTTGGTCATACCTTATAATTTATCATATTAGAAAATCAGTCACAATATTATTAAATTAATATTGTCCCATAAATACCCAAACTGCAGAAATTGGATTCTAGATATGACTAATAAAGTTAGTTGCCCTATTTTAGATGAGCCATCTATGAAAATCAGTTTTATCACTTAGTAATATTTTTGCCACACCAAAAGTGATTTACTCTCAAACCATGAGTATTTTGACAAAATCACAAGAGAAGGGGACAAGTGTTCAGCCATTGTCATCTATGAAAACTTCAGAAACCATTTTTAGAAAACAAAAGGTAAAATTTTCATTGGAGAAGATCTGCATCTTCTCTTTTCTGCCAGATTATATAAATGAGCAATAAGAGATTCATTTTGACAGTGGTACAATTGTTTTTGGGTAGAAGCCCCTTGTAGCAGGCTCATTAACATACGATATCACATGATATACCTTTGGGTGTATTGCATCTGACCAAATATTGCTTATGAGCAATATATGTTAGAATGGTTAAAAGCTATGCGACCTGTTTTTAGTTTTCATGTTGATTATTGTTTCAATAAAACTGAGTCTTTCTTAGGAAAGTTCTGACAGGAAAAGTAACAAATATTATGTAAGATAGAAAAACAGAGCAAGTGTACATGAAAATGCAGCTTGAAGTAAATTTCTCAAGCAAATGACTATTACTTAAAAGATTCATGCTGTAAATATTATTTTCTCATTAAAAATAGAATGACATTAGGTTCTTTGTGTTTTAACAAAAACTTTGGAAGAATGTTTTATACATGTGGAACTATAACTTAGAGCAGGAATTTAGTTTTACTTCAGCCTCATATTAGAGGAGTTCAAGAGGAGGAAATTGAAAAGATATTTGGCAATTTGTTTCAGGTTTAAACTTGAGGCTATAGACTCTTCATTTCAACATTCATTGGACAAGACAGCCTCTGAATTTTTTTCTTTTTGAATAAAGGATTTTTTGATGAGTGGATATAACCTAGTATCTTTAAGTCTTGTTAGAACTATTTTTTGAAAGGACATTAGATGAAAGTGTTGATTAACCACAGAGAGCAAGGTGAGAATTGGGCACTTGTATATGTACTCGCAGAAATAAGAAATCATGAAAGTAGGAATAACTATCATTTGTGTCACTGCAGAATCTCTTTAGAACTTCCTTACACATATTTTCTAATATTACAGATATATAATTTAATTATGTACAGAAATCTAGAAATAATTTCAAGTACCCTATATGGACAGAGAACTTATACAAATAACGTAAGCAGAATTGACAGTAATGTCTTAGCAGACAGGTAGGTATACTGGAAGGGATAAAATTAACAATGATGCTTTAGTGTGATAGAAAGCTAGATTACATATGCTCATTTATTTATTTTTACTGTTAAAAAGAATTTAAAATCTATATTTACAAAAATATATGCATGTAGGCGTTTATAATTATTAAGATTTAGCATAATTTCTTTGGAAGTATGTTTTAAAATTATTTTAACAAATTTTGAAGCACTGAGGAGTCTGTGATATAAATATTTTTATAATTTAGAAGATTATTATTTGAAGATAAAAGAAATTTAAGTATCAACATCAATAGAATGTCATATAGTGCTGAAATGAATTGTGGAGTCTTAAATGTTATATGACTAAAACAAAATGATTTTCAGTAAGAACAGGAAGATGAGGAATTCCTCATGGACTCCGAATGACTTGACATGAGTCTGGATCTGACTGGGAATTGGACTGAATGAGAAAAAGAACTGCAAGTGGGTAGATGGCTTAAGTAAAAAGAAATAGTGAGAGATAATATTCAAGTGTGTTGTTATAAGAAATAATGTCTTAATAATAGACCCAAACTAAGAGTGTGGCAGTGATGGGAGAAAAAAGTGTAGATATAAAGATCACTTTGAAGAAATAATATTTGATAGAATATATGGGTTGAAACAAAGAAGAGAGTTAAAATTATATTGAGATTTAGAGTCTAGGTGAAAAGAATAATGGTCATTATCATACATAAGTCCCAGGAAAAGAAACTCATTGAGAAGAAAAAGGTGATTTGCTTTTTGGCAGTTTAATCTTGAACAGATAGTGATAATCCAGATAGTGATCTTTTGGTAGCCAATTAGAATCTGGGTTCATAGATATTACATAATAAAATGTGTTGAAGAAATGGAATATAGACCCAAATCAGAAAGGAAAGAGGAATAAGGGAAGTATTTAGGTATGCATTTATCATTTATGTCAAATGACTAGGTACACAATTTTTGAGGTTAAACTGTCAGAGAAAGGACAGATGCCCTAATGGAACTCAGTTTAAAAGATGGGGCTATCACTTTGAGTTCATATAGTTTCACCAGTTACCTCCTTATGTATTGCTAAAGCAAACATTAAATATCTGTGTTATATTACAGAAAGAAGGGCAGAAAGAGAAAACAAATTGAAATGTTAGTCATGCAAGTCTCATTAGAATATGAAAACCAAGAGCCCTATTATTGAGAACCATGTCTACTCAGTAAATTTAGGAGTCATCCAACCACATAATGCAGTTAAGTGGATTAGAATCACAGTCAGGCTGAACTGAGGACTGGTGGTTGGACACATGGAACACAAGTCTCAAATCCATAATGGAAACAGTTGGATCTCACCTCCTTGGCTTTGATTAGCTACTGGGCATGGAATCCAGCTTGACAGATTCTGTGGTCTTTCAGATGGCAATGAATAAAAGCCATCCATCTTATAAAGACCCAGGGAAACACTAGAAGTCAGTGCCAGTTTTGATAAGTCAAACTCCTTCAATAAACTCTTTTCCATTTTAATTGTAAAGTTGAAACTGAAGCTGTCAAAGAATATAAGAATAGCAAAAAGGACAATGTGTATATATTGCATGCCTTAAACTGCACATGGGTATTTTATAGATTGTTTTTCATGAATTATGTCAGAAACCAATGTATTTCGATGTTGCTGAAAAAGATTTTGCAAATTCTTGAATGAATTTCAGATTTAGGGACTTTCTTCTCTTTAGAATTCATAGGATTAATAACACTGGAAAGTTATTTGCATTTTCAGCCATCTTTTTGATCAAGGGATTGGTCACCTTGGTTTTCAGAAGTAGATTTATGGTTGAAGAGAAAGTTTAGGCTTCAGGGCTTACTAGCCAGAGCGCCTTCAATGACACCTGGATAGATTGTAGCAACTGTTCAAAAATAATTGTGAGTTGTTTTATTGTGTCTTTCTTTAAAGAATCCTACCCTCCTCACATGTAATCCAAATTATTTTGGAAAGAATATGGCTTAAATGATGGAAAATATTGTGAGATTATTTCAGCAGTAAAACAAAGCAAAACCCCTCCTGCACAGTATCTGAAAGAAAAATACTGTTTCACTTCTTTTCCCTATTGTATAAACATTAGGCAAAATATGAAAATTTGTGTGAATTTTAGAATAAAAATGTATACTTGGGTGATTTTGAAAATTATTAAGTCTTAAGGAAAACTATTTTTTTTTTGCAAAGAATAACAAAATTATTGAGTCAAAGCCACAGGACTTGCTTTAATTATGCCCTATAGCCTTGAAATCTATTAGGCAGTGTCCATATCTTTGAATTCATTTTAGTTGTCTTCATAACTATCCTCATAATATCATTGGAATAGACCAATATTTTAATAGTTTAACTTAAAATATCTAAATACGATTCTTTTTTGCATTTATATTATCAGTTAAAAGTGTATTAAATTGGAATCAATCTGTAGATGCACTTCTTAACTACAAAATTTGTAGCATTTCAATAATATTTAGAAAAATAGAAAGACCTATAATAAATTAAAATATACTATATTTCCTTCCTGTCTTGTTCCTGAATTTGGGACCCTATTCTGGTACTTATTCTATAAGCAATCATTAACAAATCATTTTACTTCTCTGAGGCTTGAGTTCTTACTCTAGGTTGCCTTTGTTACAAGGCTATTGTGAAGAATAACTGAGAAAAGGCACCAAAGGTGACTGGGCAATTGTAGCAGCATAGAATAAATGTCCAAAGTAGTCCTGGATGCTGGTCCTAAGTGATCTTCACCCTTCTGTCTAGTCAGGTGTCATGACCGTGCTGAGGTGTGCTCAATCTCAGATTCAATAATGTGCCCTAAGACTTCTCTCATTTGCATTTGTTTCTGAATTTCCTTTGAACAGAACAAGGTCCATCTTGCTAATAAAAATTTCAAGCTTATAGAGCACCTCCCCCAAATCCTTCTAGTAATAACCATAAACTAAAACCTTTACCCAGAATTAGATTCATGATCTAGGATTGGATGAATGCCACCACAGAGGAAGTCAGAATTCAAAAGTGATTAAAGTGTTCTGTGCCCCTTTCTCTGTATAGATAACAGCATAAGTTTGCTAAAAAGCAGAGTGGAATATTCATTCTCCCTTCATGAAATGAGACATTTAATATACTCTTATTATAAATACAAATGTAGATTGCATACTGATAAATAATTTTTCAAAAGCTAGATATAAATAATTTGTAAAATATCATCTCCATTTGTTTGAGACACTCAGTCATATTTATGAACTTCTAGGAGTGATTATTGTTCTCATATTAGTAATATAGAATCTAAAATTAACTTATAGTAAACATGTTTTACAAATTGGGTTTCCTGTCACTGTAATTCAATTTATTTTTATTGTTTTTGCTATATGCTTACTTCTAAATTTGAATCTTCACATGAATTAATACTTAAGGTTATATTCTTATGACAGATTTTGATAGATTAATGGGTACAAAGGTGATCACTGAACTTATGAATACATGAGATAGATTCTTATAGTCTTAGAAGTGTTCTAAGTAATGATTATTTAAGATGTTTAAATGCCATTTTCTTTCCATTATTTCAGCAGCAGCTAAAAAGGATGAAAAGAAAGAAGGTATGTTTTATGTAAAATCTCACTCTGCCTTTTGTAAGTACAATTTACCAATATTCAGAGTTGTGCTTTTACTGCTCTCCTTACCATATTCCCTTCAGATAACTGGATCCATTATTTGCATACATTTTGCATGAATGTTCTCTTTCTATCTCACCTCACACAAAAGGATGAACTATTTCTTTAAATGTAATTTTAGTGTAGCTTTCTCAAGATAAAACAGCCTCTGCAAATCCCAAACCTCCTACTCTGTTGGCAGTTTTATCAATTTTTAGAAATTTGTAAATTATGGACCCTGTTCTCCTATATTAACTCCTTGCATCTCTGACACAAATAAGTAACTGATGTTACTTTGTTCTATTAAGCTGCAAATAAGTTATAGTCATATAGTCATCCACTGCAAATAAATTCAGTTATTTGGGGGGTGGCATGACATGGAGTAAAATATATCTTGTTGGCAGAGGAAAATTGCACTATAAGGAATTAAATGGACAAGAAAGACTTTATCCAAGACTACTGCAATAGGGGTCAAGTCTATTAGCAGAGGAAGGAGATTGAACTTAATTCCACTGAAGCTAAACGCCTGAGAGTTTTTAAATGCTGGAGTGAGCTAGCATCAAAGTACTGGACAATAATGAGTTGGGGGTGATCTGTGCAATGAGGCCATATGTGCCTTCTAACTGGACCTATCAAAGTTAGGCTCCTACCTTCCCAAAAGACTGAGAGATAGGGATGCTATCTTTTCTATAATTATATTCCAAAAAAGATGGCTTTCTGGATCTTGTAAAAGACATTTCTGGGTTGTAGCAAATTTATATCTCGAAAGGACAGAGAAAGAGTTTGCAATTACAAGGTTTCCAAAGTGAAAAATTTAAGAAAAAAGAGGCCAGATGCTTGTAGGCAGGAAGAAAATTGTATAAACTTGGTCCTGCATTAAACATTAAGGCTGACCACACCACTGCTGTCCTTTTTAGAGGGATATTTGTAATTCACATCTTGACAAAACTATATGTATTTTCACCACTGTTTATTAATCTAACCCCATTTTATTAATAAAAATAGAATGTGGATACATGTCCATATGATCTAAAAACATAAAAAACAAGGGTTATATTTTGTATTTAATATCATCAGAATTTTCCATGATCCTAACAGTTTGAGTCACATTCTGCTTCTGTTACACAAGAAGCTTAAAGCTAATATGCATGAGAAAGAGAAAATATTTTAGTTGGTTATTTGTTCAGAGAAAACAAAGCTGAAGTATTATAACAATGACTGCTAGGACATTTTAATGTTTCTCATCAAGAGATTGAAATCAATATGGGTTCCCTTTGCTATCTTTTAAATGTATATTGGCAAGTGATACTATATATTATGAATACTTTGATGAAAAGATAGAGAATTTTTAAAGAATAAAGACATTGTGAGTTCCTGGCTCAGTTTTGTATAGAATTGCTATCTTTCCAGTAGTCCCTTTTAGAAAGAAAGAAACAAGTTTAATTTGATTTAAGTAAAGGAGTAATATGAATGGTTATTTTTTCATTGGTATCCAAGTCAATGTTTTAGGAAACGACAATTTCACAACTTTTAAGATTTGTGTTTGGTCCCCCCCCCCGCCCCCATTCTTATGCCTCTATTTTTTTCTGGCTTATATATGTCATTTCACCTTTTAAATAAATTGTCCATAATCTATATGCCATATTTGGAAGAATTTGGGCAGAACTTTGCCAGTGGAAACTCAAAAGCTTCCTTGTCTGAGACCTGTCTACAAGGAAACACTCTCCTTGTAGACACCAAAATTAAATTCTGATGTCAGTTTTAACCCCAGCTTTTCCTTTGCTCCTCAAATTTAGTCTTTTATAATTTTCAGTTTGACTAAATTCTCTTTGGTTTAATCCTTCCTTAAATAATTAGAAAAACTGATTTTCATTACAAAACAGGCTCTAGTTTTCCAGTTGGGACTTCACATTGCCATTTGTGACTTCAATGCGTTTTACTAACAGCTCATATTTGCCAGGGAAATGATCTCCCAAAGTCAGATTTTTTTTTTTAAAAAATTGGTCAATGACTTCAAGGGGGTTCCTAATACCCTTCCCATAGTTCTTCAATGTCACAACTATTTTTTAAAAGAAATATGAAATTACCATCTGCCTTTTTCTCTCACATTCTCACATGAGTGTGCACTATAATTTTCCAGTGGCTTAGTGGTGTATATTAGTGCAACAGACTAAATCCCAAGCAGATATGCAAATATAGCTGCCTTCAAATTAAGCCAGACATTAATGAGAGTCACAGAAGTCAATTATTTCACCATTTTATGTATTGGAAATATATTTGTTATAGAATATGTTGTTTATATTAAAATATGTCAGGTTTATAATATATAATAAATGAATAAATAATACATAAAATTTAAAATTTTTCTTAGCTTTCATTTTAAAAATTATAAACATCAATAAATGCAAAAAGAACTATTTGTATCTTTAGTAACTATTAACAGTTTAAAGGAGTACTGAGATGAAAATGTTTGAGATTCTTCAATAGAAATAATTATCTTGCTTATATTATTATCTCTCTCCAAAATATTCAACTGTATTCATTACACTTTTTATATTCTTAACTATTTAAAATATTGAGTGACTCCACCATGATCACAGAACATACTCTACAGGCCTTAATCTGCAATTAAATGTCCATATTCTGTTTCTCACTTGCCTTTTCTAACCTCCTGTCAAGAACACATCAAGGCAAGCTCGAGGCCAATGCCTGAATAAATCCAGTAGTAAAGGTGCCAGGAACCCTTTTGAGATTGAGGCAACTTATTACGTTCATGGACATCAAAAGTAAGAGAAGCTAAAAGTGACAGCTCTTTATGGCCCTTGTCCCACACTCCAGAAAGGGTGAAGCAAAAACAAATGAGAGGAGGTTGCAATGAAACACAAATTAGGATCTCTTCTTTGCTGAGGAGGCAGTTCCAGGCTCCAGCCATGATTCTGTGGTCTACAGCTCTATTCCAAGTGGGTCTAGGAAGAAAGCTTGGAGGTGATGAGAAATTATTTTTACAGTCTCCCAGGAGAAATTTGGAGGCACATAGGAAGTGGCCTCCTTGCTCCTCACAAGATTCTCGTGCTCCTGTGTTCCAGGGGAACACAAGGCATCCTGTTCGAATTCATTAGTTGTAGTTTAAACCTTTACTTGTGTGGAAATGTTGCTTTTATTCTTACCCACATTCTTCCTTAATGTACTCTATTCCACAAAACTGCTCTCCATTTTACATATGAAAGTTTTGCTGTTATCCTAACAGAGTTTACCACCCCTGCTTTTTTTTTCTTTCTATGAAATATGCAGCTTATTTTTGGGGAGTTCATGATTACTCCTCTGTCTTCTAAGAACTCTGGTCCTCTCAGTTAAAAATACTTTCAGTCTTGTATAATGCTCCATGGAGCTTATTTTTTGCCACTTTGTACTTCATGTTACTTGCAATCCTTTTCCTTTTACTCTAGCTAACTTCAGACTTTTGATAAGAGGGTCTGTCCAATTCACTTTTATCCTCTGCAGGGACTAACACAGTTTCGTAGTTTTCACATTGTTCAACAAATATATATTCTGTGAATGAATCAGTAATATCTAGTACTCAACACATACATAATAGTCACAAGAAATATAAAATATGAATAACCAATTTTCTCACATCAGGGCAAATATTGTATAACAAATATATTTCCATCATCATCATCATCATCGTCATCACTATAAGTTACTTTTTAAGTTTGGGAAGTCATAACTAACTATTGACTGTTTGTTTTATGTGTGTATGATCATGTGCTACTACTTGGGCTAGATGAGCAGATCTAGGTAAATCTCATTCATTTAATCTCATTTTAATTGATGAATTTCTAGGGGCTGGAATGCTAAGAATTCTGCTTTAACATGTGGAAGACAGAACTCTACTAAGAACAAACCAGACGAGATTGATTGTTTACTGACACTAGCAAAAGTAGAGTTGAATGCATATGAGCATTACCCCAAGTCCTAGAGATTCAAAATTGAGATATGAAGAGGAATTGTGTGGAAAAATAAAGCAAAATGTATATTGTAAGAAGAAATATGTTAATCCAACAGATTCCATAAGGGAGACAGTGTTCTTTATTCCCAGCAAGAGTGGACTATCAGAGAGTTCATTTTTCCCTTGAGATAAATTGGTACTTTATTTCCTCTGTCCTCACAAAGACCATAATCATACCTGATGTGTTGCTAAAGATGAGTGATGAACTGAACAGACTTCCAACATATCACTGTGTTTTAAAGCATAGGTGTTGGGGATCTCAGTGTTCCTAATTAAAAAAAAAAAAAAAAAAAGACTGATGCTCCGATTATTGGGCAGATGGTCTATAGGAAATTATATTAACCAAGTAAACCTTTATATTGATTAAGCCATTTCAGCAACAAATGTTGAGAGGGCATAATGAAGTTTAATAGCATGGATATTAAACAGCTTGTACTGATAGCCTTTCAGGGTCAGTATGTGATCTTTGAATTCTAAGTACTCTAGTTTTTCAGTTGCCCAGATTCCTTTCTTATATAAGTCCTTTGAGCTATTGACTCCAATCTGAAAGACAGATCTTTATGATGACATTTCACTGTAGCTTTCCATTCTTAAAGTCAATATATTGAACTTCTAAAAGACTAGTTTGGTTAGATCTCCTTACAGAAGATTGCTATTTTTCACATTTCTTTTTCATGAAATGTTTTATTTCATCTTAATGTGTACCACAATTCAACTGACTCTGGACTTCCTATTATGTTTTATATTATTTTATTTTGGTACAATTGATATCTAATTCAATATGTTATTGATTCTTGATTCTCATTATTAAGGAGAAGAAAATTGGATTGAAAATAAAAATGTTCTATAGATACATATATTGTGTTGAGTTTTCCATTACAACTCCATGTCAGCATAAAGTTATTTAGCTAATATTTTCCCATATTGTGACATAATTAGCAAAATCATCATTTTATGACTGATTTTTTTAAAATATATGGTACAACACAAATCCTTCCACAGTTCTCCTATGACTCAGAGTTTACTGTTTAATATTCTCTTTATTTAGAGGTATAAATTTATTTCATGGAAAAAATATTCCTATAAGTGTATTTATAATTTTGCATTTTTTCTTTGGGTTTCTAGTAATGGAATTACCACATCCAAAAGCATACTAATTTTTATAACAGCCTGGATTCTTTCTGAGGTTGCTTTCCCAAAGTATTTTTAACTTGGTAAAGTTATCAAAATAGGTTGTCCCCACAGTGTTTCTAGAATTTTTGGTTATCATTTTTGTTTTCATAGAACAACTTTACTGGCCATCTAACTGATTTTTGTGAATAAACAGAAGTGTATTGTCATCTCCAAACATGTCAGGTCCAGAGCTTTATTAAGGAAGTGAATCACGGATACTGACACATCACTGTGAAGAACACAGGTCCCTTAACTTGCAAAAAAGGAGTGTCCATTGTTACAGGTTCTAAGCCAGATAATTGTCAGGTAGCAAAGAATCTGTTCTTCTTTAGCATGTTTCAATCTTTGGTCATCATCATTGTTCTAATTTCAGTATTAGAGTATCTCAAAATTAGGTTATGAAGGCATATAAGAAATGACAAAATAGGAAAAGTTCTCTGCAAAAAATAAAATAAAATAAAAAATAAACTAAGTTATTTTTATTCCCAAATAAACAAGATATAGAAATCCTTGTGCTTTTATTTTAAAGTAAAAGGAACATAGAGTTTATGGTCTAAATAATAGAAAATAATAAATTCCTCAGATCTAGGCTGAATGTTCCTATATAAAAAGCAAAATAGATGTCTGTTGACCACAGAATACACATTACTATACAGCAATTATAAATTAATGTGTTCCTAAGTAGCCCATGTGCAATATGACCCTATTTCTTTTCCATTAGAGTGGGATACTATGCTGGAAGTGTATGACTATTCTAAGAGTGTACAATGCAGTTTACCTGGACTTACACACACACACACACACACACACACACACACACACACACTAATATGTATGTAAATTAATCTGGAAACTAACTTCTATTAAGTATTTTCTAAGAACTGAGAACTAACAAAATTATAAGGACTAAATTTATACACACTTTAAGACCGTTTGGGTTAATGCACCATGGTAATATTTTTTGTTACAAAACTGTGGATTCTGTTATTAATCAGGTGTTTGCATGAGTTGGGAAAAACAACTGGCTATGCTCTCATAGAAATATATATATTTCTGAATTTTTTTAATGATGATGCAACACAAATCCTTCCACTGTTCTCCTACTACTCAGAGTTTACTATTTAATATTCATATATACATATATAAATTATATGTAGGTATTTTCTTTTATTTTTTCTGTATTTTTTGCTTTAAAAGGTTTCTCACCTCCCTGCCTTACTTCAGTGCTCATTCTTTTGAAAACATGGTAGTTTCTCTTTAAGCTTCATATTTTAGAAACATTGCATGCAGTCAATTCATTTTAGTGCAAATGATTTCACTGTTGATGTCACTTTTGATGTGAGCTATTCAAGTTGTTGATTTCTCTAATCTCTTTTATCAATAACTTATCTTTATATTTTCAGATTCCAAGAAAACAAAAAAGCCTACAGAAGGTAGTATATACATTTCTTTCCCTGTCTTTTATTTTATGAACCCTAAAGTAGCTTTTTTCTTAAAGAATCAATATTGAAAAAAAACTTATGAAATAGAAAATGGGAAGGGGGAGAGAGAGAGCGAGTGAGGGAGGGAGGAAGGGAGAGAGAGAGAGAGACAGAGAGGAAGAGAAAAGAAAGAATTCAAATCTTTTCTATTAACACTGCCATGAGAAATATTCAGTAGTATTAAAAAATTAAATCCTGCATATATTTACTTTTGACAGTTATTGTTCTCAAATTTTGCTTTACAAATAAAACAATGTAAAGTATCAAACATTCATTTAATGAGAAAGTATACATTCAGTTAATTTTCAACACATCAGCATGGATTATAAATGGAATGAAATCATAACTCATTTGGCAAGTATATACTTGCATCTTTTGGACTTTTTCACATTTGTTCATTGGTACAAAGTATTTATCTACACAATTTTTTTTGAGTTTGTCCATGTGTATTTATTTAAGAAGACTGCCAGGTGTAAATAATTTAAAATGACTAAACATTATAATAATTTTCAAATAATGTTTTTCAATCAAATTATGGCACTTCTTATGATAATTGACAATATCTCAGAGCAACACTCATTATAAAATTCAAGGGGAAATATTTGGGAGACTGTGGAAAATATGTGGTCTAAGAAATGTGATAGTAGTAAGTTTTATCTTTAATGCTTTTAAGACTAATGTTTTTCTGTTTATATTTGTTTCAACAGAGCAGTTGAAGGGAAAAAGTAAGAAAATGCCTGCAAAGTCTATTTGCGTGTGGTGTGTGCTGTTTCTTCTACTGCTATAAACTGGATTGCTGGTGTATTTAAACTTGCAATCTTGAATGTACTTGTTCTATGTTTTATGCATGTGAACTGTTTTGTTTTGTTTTGTTTCTGGCTTTTTTTCTTTCTTTCTTTCTTTCTTTTTCTTTCTTTTTTTTTTTTTGTCAGAATGAAGAATACATGGCCTGCAGGGTCAGAGTGACCTGGAAAGCATAGCCAGCTTTTTTATAACCTTTTTTTCCCTCAACTCTGGCAAACACTTAATAACACTATCCACAGTTTTGTAACAGAAAATATAAACATGTTACATTAACCCAAATGATCTTAAAGTGTGTGTAAATTTAGACCTTATAATTTTGTCAGTTCTCAGTTCTTAGAAAATACTGAGTAGAAGTTGGTTTCCAGGTTAGTTTTATGACCTAATCCCTATTGTCTTTCTTCTTGTAATACATAAATATTTGACATGTGTAAACAATATATTACATTTTGTCTGTGATGGGATTTTCTCCCTATAGGCACTATGAACTCTGTGTAATAACATTGCTTGGCATCCATATCTTAGGCATAGTTCAATGTTACTTTGACACACCATTAAATTTGGTAACTATTCAGTAAAGCTCAATGCCTTGAGGTTGTGTCTTTTGCAAACATGTATTCTCCTCTGAAGAAAATAGGAGATATTTAACAAATCAAAATTTAAAAAATAAAATTCACCCTACTCAATTAGCTATTAAAAATTAGCACCATTCCAGGACTATATAGTTCTTAAGATCCCACTGGTATTAAAAACATAGCTTTAAAATATACACCATTTTTAAAAAATGCTTATGTATGTTTTAGCCCTATAAAGTTAGGACTCTGAGACATTCAATGTCATGAAAGAGCTCTAAAATGTCCTGTAGGAGGAATCATGAAATTATGCTACAACCCAGCCAGAGGGAGCAATTTATCTATGGAGAAGTGTGTGTTTGTTCAGCATCAGATTTATGAGTGTGCACAGCTGCTGATGAGTTCTGGCACAGGGATACAGAATCTACTCCACAAACAGGAAAATGGAGGACAACTGTAGATTTTAAAATGTATATATATATATATATATATATATATATATATCCTTAAGGCCTTCACTTTATTGCAGTTTATATGATTTAAAATGTCCTGCAGACACATGGCAGCTCCTTGGCAATCTTCAGGGCGTTGATGTATTTAATAAATAAACATGACTTTTCAGGCCTTCATTTATAGCACAACCCATACCCTCCTTGAGAAGTTCCACAGATGTGACTTAGGAAATCATTAGCAGAATAAATTGTTTTCTTCAAAACAGCTGTGAATTTTTTCCAAATTAACTTGTTTGTTCTGATTTGTCATTTAGACTTGCTTTTGCTATTATTATGTGTTTGAATTTGATTTGGATTTATTTTCAAAATTGCTGCATTTGATGTTATATTCTAGCCTTATATTCTGTTTTCACTTTTATTTTTAATTTAATTTAATTTAATTTCTTTTGAATTAAAAGTTTGTTTTCTAAGTCATGTTCTTTAAGTTTAGACCTATTTTAAGTATAAAAACAGGGTGAAAGATTCACATATACTTCATTTTGTAAATTTTGTATACTTTATAAATTCCTGTAATCTATAATTTTTTCAAAATAAAAAGAAATAACTCAAATGATCAATTAGGGGCCTTATTTGGCAGTCCCTGTAGAATTTAATGGTAAAATTGTTTATATTTATCATTATATTAATAATAATTATTAAATAATACATAATTATTCAATAAATATTCTATGTAATATCATATATCGTAAAAATTTCTGCATGTGTTCCAATTAGCACAGTATATTATTATGTGATGACTTTCTAATATTCTAGTGCAGTCTTTTTTTCTTTAACTTTAAATTTCATATGTAGCTGGTGCTTGATTTTGATGTCCTGCATCCAATAATTTCTTTTTTGTTTGTTTTAATTACTTTACAAATGTCGTATAGTTCAATCTTTCATCCTGCAGTTAAACAATAGATTTAATTTGCCAGACACTTGGTAATATTTTTGTTATGTTGGATTTTTGCTCAGTCACCTATACTCCTTCCGTTTAGCCCGCAACCCTTGCTCAAGCAAGCTCTTTTGTTTGTTCTGCTGCCTGTGCATGGTCTTAGAGTGTGCAAGTTGCTCTTTACCCCTGCACAATGATATGCCTGATGAGTGGAATTGAAGGTTGGCAGATTGTGCCATCACCATACAGGTTTCTGTGACCCAAGTGTTTCTAAAATACAGTTCATAGAATTCTTTCAGCATGAACAGCTTCACAGTTTTCAAATTTTATTCCATAAATGAAACTTTAAGGAATTTCTCTAACCTTTTCCTTTAAAGTATCAGATAGTGTCTAATAGTATTTCTTGAAAACTTTCTTTTAAATTAATTTGACATGCTTACCTAGTCAAAATAAATAAGAATAGAATGTGGATGATAACATTTCCCATAAAATTAGTGCTTGCACTTCATGTAAAATTAGTACACTGTATATTGTAAATGTTAGCTTCCTCTTTATCTTTTGAGGACGTATATGATTTATTATTAACTTAACCCATTATAGAAAAGAAATGGAACACAAGTCAAGGAAATGTCATAAATCCAAGAATCTGCTATCGTACTGTCCTGTTGAACCGCCACCACACAGCACCCAGCACTGTGGGCTTCTCCAAGGCATTGCTGCCCTATAGATTTCCAGTTTGTTATTCCTTTCAGAATGTTGATTTTGTGAAAAATCATATTGTCCTCTTGTAGAGTGTTGTCTTCTTTCTTCTCTTTGTATTAATTTTTATTGACTCTTTTTAATTACCTAAAACATTAAGATACATTTTGATATAATCACACAACTATGGAATATAATTTGCTCTAATTCAGTCCCTAGCACTTCCCCACCTGCCTCCCTTCTCCTGCTTCAGTCTTACTACTCTACTGATATTTCACTGAACTGGTAGTTTTTTTTCTTTTCTTTCCTTTTCTTTTTTTTTTTTAAATTAGTGTCTTGTGGATATACTTGATGTTAGGATTCACTGTGCTATATTCATGTATGCACATGTGAAAGTGGAGTCAGTTTCATTCCATGGTTCTTCCCTTTTCCCCTCTCTTCTTCCTCCCCCTCTATCCCCTTTGTTTATTCTACTGATCTTTCCTCTGTTTTGATGAAATTCCCACTCTTTTTTTTTCTCTCTTTCTTTACATCTTCCTCACTCTGTTGGATTTATTTCTGCATATTAGAGAGAACATTTGACCTTTGACTTTTGGGGACTGGCTTATTTCACTTAGTATGATAGTCTCCAGTTCCATTCATTTACCCACACATGCCATAATTTCAGTTTTCTTTATGGCTGAGTAATACTCCATTGTGTAGTTGGACAACATTTTCTTTATTCATTCATCTGTTGAAGAGCATCAAGTTTGTTTCCATAGGGATTGGCTATTGTGACTTGTGCTGCTATAAATATTGATGAGCCTACATGAATATTAGATGCTGATTTTAAATTTTTTGGTTATATACTGAGGAGTGGGATAGCTATGTTATTGCTAGTTTTTTGAGCAATCTTCACACTGCTTTTCAGAGTGTCACATTACTCTGCAGTCCCACTACCAACAGCTGAGTGTAATTTTTTCCCCACATTCTCACCAGCATTTATGATTATTTATATTCTTGATAGTTGCCATTCTGACTGGAGTGAGATAAAATCTCAGTGTAGTTTTGATTTGTGTAGCCCTATTTTCTAGAGATATTGAACTTTAAAAATAAATATTTGTTGAGCATTTGTATTTCATTATTTGAGAAATGTCTGTTCAGTTCCTTTGTCCACATTGTTTAGGTTATTTGTTTGTGTGGTTTTGGTGTTAAGTTTTTTGAGTTCTTTGTATGTTCTGGATATTAATGTCCTACTTAAGGAGCAGGTGGCAAAGATCTTCTCCCATTCTGTTGGCTTTCTCTTTATGCTCTTAATGCCTCTTGAGTCTAGAATAATGCTTATGTCAAACAATATTGACTAAAGAAGGTTCTTAAAAGTAAATGTTAGCTGAGAACTCTATAAGGAGCGTTTGTATTTCTCCCTCAAACCAGGCAAGTATGTTTTGCTTCCTTCTTTGCTTCTTAGCTTATTTTAGTGTCTTAAATCTATCCCAAGAGAATATTTTTTCTTAGCTAAATTAATATCTCTTCAGTATAAGAATATATTTAGAAAAGAGTAAATATGAAATCTATCCATCTTCATTTTTTTCTGAAAATTATTTTTAAAAAGCCATAATAGCTATCCTTTGAGCTTACTTTTCATTCCAGATTTATTTCATGTAGATCTAAAATGATAATAAATTTATTTTTCTCCATTTTTATAGATTTTTTATGTTTCTGGTTTATTATTTATGTAAAGTTAGGATTCCTGTAAATATCAAGAATATTTTGATGCTACTCTTTGAGGGAACTCCCAAGAGAAATTACACTCTCTTCAAGGTATTTATTATTTACTGCAATTCAGCATCAGCATGTGTGTTTGCTTATGTTAAAACAATTAGGATGTGATTCACAGAATTGTAATAATAAATGTACTACTACTAATAATAATTGTAATAATAATAAATTGTAATAATAATGACAATGATAATAACAATAATAAAATATGTTTCAGAACAGGAAAAGAAAGAAAAACATGCAGAACCAGGTAATTTCTTTAAAGTATTCTATTTTAAAAAATTTTATGATATTATTTAATTTGCAACTTTATGATAAATTATAAATGAATGGCATAAAATATTGATTTTTTTTTCTTGCTTGATATAGCAAAGTCACCAAAGAAGGAACCTTCAGGTGAGTTACTCTGGTGAAGTGGACTCTCTCTACCAACAGGTAGCTTCAGACTATGTATAAAGGTTGGTCTGAGGCAGTAGAGGTCAGGAAATCTCAGCCTTTCTTTCAAGTTCTTGACACAAACATAACATCAAGGCAGTTTTACAAAGTAAAAGCCTGATAACACGCTGCACCCTTGCTACTCAGTGTGAGGCCTGTGAGCCAGCAGCATCTGATGCTGAGGTAGGAATATAGACTCATTAAGAAAATGAATGCCCCACCCAGTCCTACTGAATAAGAAACTGCAACTTCATAATATCCCTAGTGGACTCCTGTGTGCAATCTTTGAGAAGCAGAATTTTTTTGTTTAGTGTAAAAAATTGCAAAGAACAAAATAAAACATGAGCAAAACACTTCCTGTGAATGCATCTAATATCGCTTTGCTTTTCAAATGTGAAATATTCACTTCCAGGAAATATTCTTCCCTTATGCATAATGTTACTTAGTAGCATTTCTTGAGCACTTGGGGATTTGTCTTAAAAAGAAAGATAGATTTACTCTCAATATATTTGTAATCTAATAGGAAAAAATTGAACTGAGAATCAAACAATGAGACAAACCAACCAATCAACAAATACTGAAAGTGCAGTTACTATAGACACCAAATCATTTTCTTATTTTTTTCTAACATTTTACCTGCTCAGTAAGTCATTTGAATGAAAATTTTTGATGTTTTCTAGTGACCTCTATTTCTTTCTTTTTTATTTATTTCTGTTTTTCTTTTCCTTTTTTTCTTTCTTTCTTTCCTTATTTTTTTTTTTCATGTTGAGTTTGTCACCCAAAGAACCAGGAGGTTTTTTTTGTTAGGGGAGGGTATTTGTGCTGGTGTGTGCTTGTGTTTGTATGCACATGATGCAGGTAGTCATAGCTTCATATAATGTCCTGTAGTAATTCCTTCAGTTTCATTGTATTTAAGTGGAAATAATATTTGCCACTTGTACATAACAATACAAATAGAGCTGCTACACCATAGGACTGTCCTAGCCACAACCATAGCAAATAACAGGTTTAAAGCCACATGTTTTCTTCTTCCCAGTTTGTTAAAACTACTGCAATAACCCCAATCTGCTTAGGTATCTCTCCAACCAATTCTATAGCATCATTTCCTTACCTTTACAATAGCATTTAATATACTGTTAAAATTATACTCTCTTCTTTTTTACACTTTCAACAGTTCTTAATTAGAGAATAGAGCCTATTTTTATCTCTTTATTTTCAGAATGCCTATTGTGATTCCAAACACACAGAGGGCACTTGATAACAATGTATGAAGTGAAAGAAAGACACCAAGTAGAATAACCCCAGTTTTTAAAATTTAAAGATTGAATGACTTCCAAATACATAATTTACAAGATGAAGTAATGGCACATTTCACTATCTCACATTAACAGCCCTACCATTTAACCTTTGGTAAGGAATGGTTTATCTATTTATAGAGAACAGCCTATTTGTTCAAGAATGCATTCCCACTAGTGCTCTGTAACACACATTTATACTTATGTACATATGCAAAAAGCTCAAATAGAGACACATTTTAAAATATGGAGGGGCATATCAAATGACTTTTGGTATAACTAATTTTAAGGATCTTCATAGCTAAATACCAGGTCTCATATTGAACATGACACAATACCATAACTTAAAATTGCTTCAAATCATCTGTTCATTTCAGGGTGTAATTACAGTGTAGCCACTTAGCAGTAATTAGTTGTATTTTTAAAATTTAAACCATTGGATAATCTGCCATATTATTTCTTTATTTATTCTCATTTCGTTTTATAGAATTTGAGAAAAAATGTATTTTCCTGAATATAAAAGCAATCAGATTCTTTGCAAACTTAAAATGGAAAACTAATAAATGAGTCACGAATGATCCTTCTATGTTGGAAGATGTATAAATAGCAGTCCCCCAGAAACCAAAAACAAAAATCTGTGGTTAATGAGTATTTTTAGAGTATGTCAAAGACATTGTAGTGCTATGTATTCTCTTTCTAAGATTTGCTTTTTTGTTGTTTGTTGTTATTGTTGTTGTTGTTGTTTTTTCCTTTTGGTCCTTAAGATTATACACATGGTCTTATAAGCAACTAAAATAACCTTAAAGTTATTTTATAAAAACACAAGTATGTTTAACATAGACCTTCTTTCTTATCATTAACAGCTGCAAGTGAAAAACAAGTGAAAGCAAGTATGTTGAATAAAACTTTTAAGTGGAGCATATTTTAGCAGCTTATTCTCTTGACTGTTCTGCTCTAGACATTGCTAATGCTAATTTTTGAGCTGGATTGCCAATTTTTTGTGTGTTGGAATAATATGTCAAATTTTTCATTTCTGTCTTTTCTGTGAATTCATGCTTCTGACACTTTATCTATAGAGCTTTACTTTGTAAATTTTAATTTGTCCAGATAACCTCTCTTCAAATTGTGACTTGTTTTATACTTTGAAGAATATGTGATCTCTTCAGTTTCTTAATTAAATAATTCTTTAATTATTCTAATGATTAATTGTTTGAACAAATAGGCAACATAATTTGTCTACTATAAATGTTGTGTCTTTAATAAAATGTACCCCCAAACCCCAGTTTTTTAACTGTTCTTTGCTATCATATTCTTTTTTTAACGCATGTAACTTCAGATTATGAAATATTGACTGGCAACTATAACATATTATGGCATTTGTATCAGTGATAGCCTTGACAATATGCTCAAGGGAAAAAGCTGATTTCTTTTGTTGTTTGTAAATCTTAATTTGGTAAAATACCTAACATGTTTCCATTAATGGAAATTATTTTAAGCATAGGGCTTGCATTTTATTTTTGGAAAAAAGAAATATGGTTAGCTTCTTTAAGTTTTGGATATATAATCCATGGTCAGTTGTGTGCATGATGAAATATATATTTCCCTTTGGATTAGAGTTATATAAGTACTTATGATGATACTAATACATAATACTTTCAGACCTAGTATATCACTGGTAAACATATCAGTGAATAATTGGAATATATGTTAATTAGATAGGTGAGAATGTCTTTCTTTTTCTCTTTTTAAAAAAGAACATTACTTTTGGAATTTTTCCCTTAGACACTGAGGACTTTAAAAGTGAAGTTTAACATGAATCTAAAATTCCATTTATATTTCCATGAAAAATTGTGAGTTTAATGTTGAATGCAAAGCTAATTGGAACTCTATATATTATGAATTGTTTAGTATGCTAGAACTTAGTCTTTAGAAATGCATAATCAAGAAAATGTATAAAACAAACTGATAATTTCACAGCTCTGGTAAAGAACTTTAGATTAAAGATTACTCTAAAAATTAACATTTTCTTAGTAGGAAAATGTGACATAGATAAAAATATTCATCTGAAATTTTAAAAAAATCTGTATGATCTGCCAACTATGAAACACACTATCCAATCAAGTTTTTAAAAGATCAGCATGTTTTTCAGGAGATTAGCATATTGGGTTACCAAACCATTAAAACCCAACATAAAAATTTCAAGAGTTAATATTCTACTCCTTATGTGGTTGAGACATATGAACTTTACATGGACATTTTCTGTCAATATAAAAATTAATGAGAGATAACTCATAAGCTGTTCAGATTTTCTAATAACGGTCACTTCTCCAATTAAGAATTGGTTTCTTGTTTGTTGTTTGGAAATTATAGCTGTACAACATAAGAAGTGTTGCACATTTCCTATATATAGTGGGCTGTTTGTAAATTCAATGCCTAAAATGAAAATTATATAGCATTACAAATACTCTTGAAAAGTCTTTAAATCTTCCATATAGTATGGTACAAATAGTTTTGTGTATGTAGCCTGCACATCCAGGATACAAATTTACATTATCTTAAATTATGAGAGCAAGTGTGAAAGTGAAATATGTAGCTGAATTAACATAAAGCAAACATTTTATGTAATGAAATTCCATGGTATTGAATTTCATAGGAAAGGTGATATTGACAGAGCAAGTCCATGGTAAATGTAAAGGGACATTTGCCATTAACACTGGATTAGAGAAAAAAAATAGAAAGAAGATTAATTTAGTGGATTGAAACTGTTCCCTCAGGTACTGATGAATAATTGAAGTCCAACTAGGAAAAACACTGGAAGACTTGATTGAACTATGGGCTGTAGCATTTCAGGGTAGAGCTTCTAATAGATTTTAAGAACTTGAAGAAGAGAGAAACAGTCCCAGGTTCAATGACACAATGCTGGGGAAGGTCACATATAGAGTTATGGACCACAGAATGGTGTTGATGGAAGAAAAATGCCTTGGACCAGGCAGGGATGTCAAATCTAGATTTTACAATTTCTGCAAGACAACACAGATAACTCTCTTTCTCAGGGAACAAGCAAAAAATGCCTCAGTACAACAAAGCCCCATCACTATAGTTCCCTGAGCATGTCCCCCCATACATCATATAGCCACATAGAGTTTGGCAATACAATTAGGATCAGACAAGTAGGCCATTGGAGTAGAATAGTTCAGATGCTTAATACTAATCATGATGAATCTTCAATAAAGTCTACAGCAGTTGTTGTATATTCAATCGGTTGACCACATCCCCCCAACTTTATTTATTTTGGTCAAGGATCAGTGTTTTCTAGTCCTTGGGAGGCACTGCAATAGTTCACTCCCTCCGTGTTGAGGTCTTTGAGGTTTATATCACATATCCCATATGTGTGTGTTCAACCAGCCTGAGGTCAATTTGAATTTAAGAAACATTTTTCATCAAATACCAGGTCAGGGCCAAAGTCTAGTCATTTTTAAATTGTAGATCTAAATTTTTACAAAAATACCACACACCAACATTTTTCATCCTCTGATTTTAAGTATTCTGCAGATTTTTGAGAATGGTCAGCCACCAAGCCTATGTTCATCACTCTAACCACACTTCAGTGTGTAAATGTGTAGGTCAGACTTCTGTGACCTGTTCTTCCAATGCATGTCAGGATCATTCAGGAGAAGCCAGTATGCAGAATTGAACAGTTAAGTCCTTCTGAATTTAATTAGTTATTTAACATTAGAATAATACTTGGAGACAATTTATATTAGCAAAATGATACATTTTTTGGACTCAGTAGTACATTTTCTGGCATAGGAATTCTTGAGGAAAGGGAATATGGACCTGAACCAGCACATCTGATATCAAATAGAATGTGTGCATACCAAACATGATCATGAATGTCAGCAATAGTCATGTTTGACTATACTATCCCAGGATAATTATTACTAGACCATCTTCTCACTTGCTTAGTCTGTATAATAATTTACATGATGGGCTCCTCACATCTCAGTCGCTGTTGTCTGAATACACTCAACACAGTATTGATGTAGCACTGGAGTAATGTACCAGGAAAACTAGGTTGTGAGGGACTGACTGAGGAAGTAGGCAATACATGCTTGTTATTAAGATTATGTGTAAAGCTAAGATTGGTGTACTGAGTGATAGCTTTAATTTGGAAAATTTCATGGTACAGAATCCAAGAATGTCCACCAAGATTGGTAAAGAAAAGAAAAGACAGAGAGAGAAAAAAAAAGCACTAGCAGAAGCAGAATCTAAGGCTGATTTAGACACAAGGAAGTAGGAAGGAGGCGGTGAGGATTTTAAGTAAGAAACTAGGAATAAATTTCAGTATCAGAAAATAAAATGATGGCCACAGAAAAATAGCAGTATAAATGATAACAACTGAGAGACCACTGTTGGGTTTGAGTCTTAACTGTGTAAATACACAGATTTTCTGATATTGATGTTCAAATACATCTCCTGATATTATTATTTCAAAGGGTAGCATGGTATTGGTGTAGATGTAGACAAATTCTCTAACAAGACTGAGAAAAAAAAGACCTAAATTAAATCCCATGTGAGCAAAAATCTGACATAAGAAAGAACAGCCATTTCAGATAGAGAATGGGTAGATTATTTTAAAATGTTGCTGATGTAGTTAGAATTCATTACAAAAAATGTAATTTATCCCTACTTCATACAATTCTAAAATATCAATCCCAGATGGTTCAGGGACTAAAATAGTAAAGGCAAAACATCGTGTTATTTTTTTAAAAAGCCTAGAAAAACATATTTATAATTTTTTGAAATATGAGAAAATTGGGAAAACTAGATATGAAAAATTCAAACCATGAATTTAAAAGTTGATTTATTGCATTGACTGAAGTATTATTAGACCTCCTAAAGAGATATAAAAAAGAAGCCACAAACTTGTAAACGCTGTTTATAACACAGATAAGTAACAAGAGACTAGTTGTAAAAAAAAAAAACAAAAAAAAAAAACTGAAAAACAAGAGGAAGCATTTGACCATTTGGCAGAAGAATGGGTGGAAAAACAGAAGCTAGAAGCAAGCTTAAAAAAAAGAAAAATGCAAATGACCTGCAAACATTTCCAAATGTTGAACTTCTAAGCAATAATGCAATTTTACATAAACTCAGAAAAGGATACTATATATTCATACCAGATTGGTATAAAGTGGGAGATATGATCATATGATGATGATGAATGGAGCAATAAAAACTTGCATACACTAGTGATGTGAATGTAAAATTTTGGAGAAAAATATAGCATTTGTATACTGAACTCAAACATGGACACATGACATGGCCCAGCGAGTTCACCTTCTAAGAACACTTTTGCACGTTTGTAGTCAAATTATTTATACTAGCACAAAATTAGACATGACCTAGATTCCATCGATAGTAGAACAGATAATATATAGAATTTTTACACAATGGAATCTTATATAGCAGTTCAAAGTGATCAATGACAGCTACTCATATCAACAAGTCTACCTCTCTCTCTCTCTCTCTCTCTCTCTCTCTCTCTCTCTCTCTCTCTCTCACTGTCTCTCTCTTTTCTCAGCCTTCTGTGTAGTT